GCTTCTTAGGGACTGGGTGGGGGAGAACACTGCAAAGAGTTGGTTCAGAAGGTGGTTTGGAGCTGGAGCAGCTGGTGAGAGGTAGCTTCACAAGAGGCACTTTCCTTTCCTTTGGTCTCAGGTCTTAGGCTGTGGATAAAAAGATGCAGCTTTGGGAGACAGATTAAGACCTGCTGGCTGGGAAGACACCTCATTTGGTAAGGGTTTACTATATATTGTGCAAACCTGGGTTTGGTCCTCAGTGCCCACACAGAAAGCTGTGTGTGATGCCACATGCTTGTGATCTCACTTCAGGGACAGAAGAGACCAGAGGATCCCTAGGACTCAATGGCCTGCCAGCCTGGCCTACTTGGAAGGTTCTAGGCCAATGAGAGAACTTGTCCTAAAACAAGGAATGACACTTGAGATTCCTCTCTAGCCTGCATGTGTTCTAACCTTGGACTCAAAATCTTGACAACCATTTTGCTTCTTCCTTAATCATTCTGATACCTACAGGACAGATCTTATTGGAGAGGTTTCTCTCCTTCTTCCTCCTCTTCCTCCTCCTCCTCTTCCTTCTCCTTCTCCTCCTCTTCCTGCTCCTCCTCCTCTTCCTTACCATTCTCCCTCTTACACTTGTCTAAAATTTGTTCATGTTTTGCCTTGAGCAATAATAAAAAAGGCAGAACCACAGCTTTACCCTAGATAAATTGTTCTGGAAGAATCTGTTTCATTAAAGTTGCTGTGCTCCTTTTTATTATTGTCCTGTGAACTCAACTGACTGTCCTTTAGTCAGTGTTCTAGTAAATTCTGAATGGTCTTCAGAAAGGATTGATTAGCATTTTGTCCCCATTTATCCAAAAGTGGACTCCAGGTCTGGCTCTGGACATAAGGATACATTGTAGGTGGAAAAGTTAATGCCTTCTATCTAAAGCAAAGCTTAGGTTTCAAAATAAGTGCAAGCCTTTGCCAGTCTATGCTATTGCCTGAGCTACCCTGGGAGGAAGGATGCTGAGGCTGGGCAATAGCTGGAACTTGTACAAGCTGTACCTTAGCCACATCTACCTTTGAAAACATTTCAGTTCCAAACCGGTCAGACTACAATGCTGTCAAGCTTCCTTTCCCGTTATGTTAGTGTTGGCTTCCTTTTGTTACAATGTAAATCGAGATCAGGGAAGTCTAACTTTGCATGCTTTTGTTTCCTGTGAGGTAACCTACACTCTCCATGGGTGACAGAATGTTTTGCAGTCTTTATACTGTGTTTTGTTATCTAGTTTTTTTTTTTTCTTTCCCCTTTCTTTTTGCTTCTCTGAAGACAGTTTGTTTCTCTGTATAACAGCTCTGGCTATCCTGGATCTCCCTCTGTAGATTAGGATAGTCTCGAACTCACAAAGATCCACCTGTCTATGCCTTTGGAGTGTTGTGATTAAGGGTGTGAGCCACAATTGCCTGGCTTGTGTTATGAGGCTTGTGTAAACATGTTAATTTCAAAGATCTTCATCTGGTTGCTACTTTTGGATTTAAGTAGAGTGTAGAGTGTTAACTGTAAGCATGTTTTCATAATTTGGGATGCTGGGCAGCTGGTGGCCCAGATTGCTGACCCCAGGTAGTAGATACCATCATTTTAGATTGAGTCCCTTCTTTCCATTTCCAGAAACATGACTCTGGGCCCAGCCTTCATAATTCCCAACTAGGTTCAGAATATGTCTCTGACTCAAGCTTTGTTCTACATCCTGCTGTGAAAACAATCATCCCTGAAACCCATTTCAATCAGTTCATGCCTCAATAATCCCAATGTTTCCCATTGTGTGAAAGCTAAGTCTCTCCTTAGTCAGGAGCCCTTGATCAAAAGTCCTCTTTTTCTTTGAAGCTTCTAATTTTCTGTTTCATTAATACCTCTAGGAGAGACAGCTTCATTCACTCAGTCACTCATTCACTCATTCCTTCACTCATTCAAGGAGGATTTCATATTTATTTGTTGAGTACCAGGTGATTGAGATTGTGATTTTAGCAGGAAACAATGGCACAATTTCATTAAAAAAAAAAAAAAAAATCCAGGCACAGGGGACTTGGTAACTTGTGTGTGGTTATGACATCTATGATTTTTGTTATTCACTGTTTGCTACTCTTTGTAAGCACTTACTGTGTTTCTTTTCTGGTATGAAACTTGTCTCAGAGGTCAGGCTAAGGAGATGGCTAAAATAAGGAGAGCATAACATGGACATGCATTTTAAGTTAGTGCATCATGACATATTGCTTCTTCTTGGGAGGTGGGATTTGAGATAAGTCCTTATCTCTGGCTGGGCTGTGGTTATTAGGGAGTGTCACCACACCTGGCTATGCTGACTCTTCTTAATAAAGAGAAATTCAGTCTGTGGGGAGAAATAGGCAGAACTAAGTCTAGCCTTAATTTTTTTCTCATCTACTCTGACTTTTTTTTTCCCCCAAGCTTGTCCTTTAATTACTGGATTTAACCTTTTTCCCTCTAAAGTTTGCTCATTTATCTTGTCCTTCAAATTCTCCCACACACTTTATAATCAATATGTTCAACAAACAAAAGTGGGTTCTATATTAAAAGGACAGTTCTCAGTTGACATAGAGAAGAAGAAATGGACATGACTCAGCCAAAGTGGAAGAAATAAAAAACTTCTGAGCAATATGAGAACTGAAAATAATTTTCTCCCAAAGAACTGTGGGCTGGAGGCTGGGAAAGGGCAAGTGTTTTTGGTTGGAACTCTGGGACGAGAAGGATGGCCTTGGACAAAGAGAAAGAAGGCACACATAGGCTCAGAAATATCTTTGGGAGTCAGGGGAGGTAAACAGGTTGAAAGGCATGGCCAAAGGAAGAGGGAGAAGGCATTGGCTCAAATTCAGAATGTGTGGCCAGAGCCTGAATCATTGGGACTGAGCTCTGTGGGCCCTGAGGAAGCGTGTTTAGAACATGTTTCCCTTCCAGACAGGACCAAGAGCTAAGATTAGAATTGTATTTTAGAATGATGGATTCAAAATCCCTTTGGAGGCATCAACATGAAAGGAATAATTTAGGACAGAGGGTTCATCTTGCTTGTGCTCACTATCTTCTTAGGGTTCATATGTTTCCTTGGGTTTTAATAAAGTAATATTTACTGTTATGCTTTAATCTAATAAGAGTGATTGGTCCATTTTGGTTACTGTAGAACAGTTTAATAGTAGATGCTGGGTGGAGTTATTAAAAATACCTAAGTAATAGAGAAGGAGAGTTGCATATCTTAGTGAACATTCCTGCTTCTAGAAACCCTTTCTGTATATGGGGCAGGATGCTACAGCTCCCTTAGCCTTCGATAGTCTCTGAAACAGGAATAGATTACATATTTAATTCATACTCAATCGACAGCTAATGGGTCCTTTTTCATTTGACGTATAAAATCCAGATAAACAAAAAGAAACAGTCTTTAGGACCAGCAAGACAGCTCCCTGTGTAAGGGAACTTGCTCTCCAGGCCTGACCACCAGATTTGGATGGATCCCCAGAACCCATGTGAGGCAGACAGAACTAACTTTCAAGTTTCTTACCCACACAAAAGCCATGGCACATGTGCATATGAAGTCACACATACATCCACTCAAACAACAGAAATAAAGTATGTCCAAACTAAGTATTAATGAAAACTAAAAAAGAAGCAGTCTTTACTCTTACAAGTAAAGGCTGGTACTATAAAGGAAAACAGAGACTTCAATTTTGATAACTTAAAATTTGCCAGAGATGCTTTATTAGCCGCGTGATCAGAATGCTGTGGGAAGTTAAAGGAGTGACAAGTCACTGGAAGATTCCTCAGGGGATTACAACGGAAAGAGGAAATCTGTGTTATAGGTGAAAACTAACAAGTCAGCTTTAATGATTATTGAGCAAATATCACATTCATAGTAATGTTTCCGCCATCAGCACCTCGTCCAGAGTCTCCTAACTCCCTCCAGTCAGTTTTCTCTATACCACTGAACCAAAATGAGTTTGTATGTAGCCAGGCTTGGCTTAGGGGGAAAGGGAGGCCTCGCCAAGCTACAGTGAGCTTGCGATTGTTCTGCGTGTGTACTCTGAGGCATACGGCAGTGGGCGGGCCCCGGATCCCCATGTGGTCCCGACATCATTGACATGGCGGAATCCCCCATCAAACCCTCCTGGTAGTTATTTGAGCAGCGGCGGCGGCCGGAGGAGGCGGCGGCGAGCAGCGGCGGCAGCGGCGGCAGCGGCGGCAGCAGCGCAGGGGGCGGCGGGGATCCCGCAGGCGGCTGGCTGGGACGGCGTGGGCGACCCGGATCGCGGGCGCCCGGAGCCCCGTTTCAGCTCGAGGGGAGGTAAGGCGTGCGAGAGCGGCGGGCTGCCTGGGGACGTGCCACCCACGGTCGCTCTCGGGTCCCCGCGCTTCGGAGCCCCGGCCGGGACACCGAGTCTGCCCGAGTGCGCCCTCGGCCCCAGCGCGCTCTGGGATGCCCCAGGAAAACTTGGCTGCGGAGTCCCGGTCGCGGCGACCGCTCTGCTATCGGAAGCTCTCGGCTGAGTAGGGGGCGGCCCCGCCTGTCCCCGTTCGCCCGGGAAGAAAGCGGAGGATGCGGGACTTGGAGCTCCCCTCCTCCCCGGCCCGTCGCTCCGAGGAATCCGCTCCCCCGCCCAGATCCCCGCGGCAGGACCGCTGCCCGGGAGGGGGAGGGCGCGCGGCCAGGCCGAGGAATCTTCGACGTGTCACTTTGGGAGCCTGTAGATTTCCTTATGGTGGAGGGAGGAGGGCGTGCGTGCCAGCGGAGCTGGGAGTCGGGGACGCCTCTGCCCCCTCGGGGGCGCCGGGCTGCGACCCGAGACCCGGGATACTTGCGGGGAGGGTCCTTGGGCGATCGGTCGCCCCCGCCCCCGCCAGGGCCTCTTGGGGACACTCCCCGCCCGCCGCTGGCCACCTCTGCGCGCCACGTCCTCCCTCCCCGTCCTGCCCCCTGGGCTCCCCCCGGGCTGGGGGCGGGAACCGGCGGCCGCGGCTGGACTCGGCGAGCCAGGCGGCTGCAGGATCGGGCGGGGGAGCGGGGCGCGGCGGGAAGCAGAGGACGACCCGGTGCGTGTGGGCCAGCGGAGCGCGGGTCAGTCGGTCAGCCTCGAGGGGCGCCCCTGTCGGGGGTGGGGCGGCCGGGAGACGGAGCGGGTGGAATCCGCGCCCTGAGGCGGCGGGCGGGCTGGGCGGGCCGCGGGGACCGTCTGGTTCGGATGGCAGGCAGGGACGAGCCGCCGTGGGAAGGGCCTGTCACTCCCTGCGGAAAGCGGGGCCCGGGGCCCTGTGCCGAGTACGCCTAGCGTCCCTAGCGCCGGGCGGCGGGAGCCCCGGGGACTCTGCGGGCGTCCCGGGAGACCTGGCTGGACCGCCGGGCGGCGCCGCTGGCCGGGTGCCTTCCAGGAGTGAGCGGCTGGGGTTGGAGATTTTTCGAACCTCGGTTCCCACCCGGGCGATCCCAGACCAAGGAAGCACTTGCATTTTATCCAGACAGTGTCGATTGCAGACTTCCTTAAAAGTTACAACTTTTTATTTTTTTTTCTCTCAGGCCCAGCGTTTTCTTTAAACAAAATGTAGAATTTGGCCGCTATGAGGTTGACGCTGGAGCCAAAAATGCACACGTTTATCTCCATCCCAGCTAGTCCCCCTCCCCCTCTTCCGTCCCTGGCTTAATCATATTTTGGAACTGGTGAGGGCTTTGTTGGGTAGCCACCCTTGATGCTTGTCTGTTTATTTTTTAATGTGCAACTAATTTGATTTGAATTTCCTCCAGTTTCCAGGCCTTACTAGGAAAAGCTAGGGGAGAGGGAATATGCCACTTTTCTTTCTTGTCTTTTTTTTTTTTTTTTCTTTTTTATAAATGTGGCAAGAGGTGGGGCATTGGGAAAGGGGAGGCACCTTGGTTGTGGCAGAGAGTCAGTAGAAACAGACAGACCCGGAAGAAAAGAAATCCGTTCTGGAATAACATTTCTTTTAAAATAACAACAACAAAACAGAACAAAATTCAAGCTTTGCGCAAAAATTCACTGCTCCGTTTGCATTTGAGTTCCTGGCTTCCTGCACCTCCAGGTTAGCTTGGGACTCAGATTTTGAGCTCTGCTGCACAGCCCATAGCTGCTCTGAGCCTGGTTTTGTGACTTTTGTGGGGGCTGTTGGTTCACTCCTCATTGGCGGCTGATACTGGATGCAGTAAAGACTGGTTTCGGCAAATTTCCTGGCTCCCTAGGAGCAGCCGTTGAAGAGGGTAAACTTTGGCCATGCTTCTGGCCGGGAGGCTCCAGTTCTGTTCATCAGTTCTTACATTGTTGAGACCCTGGAGGGTACACTGGCAGCCTGGCTAAAGATGAAACATAGTTAGTTGATACTTGTTTTTTTTTTTTTTTTAAATGCTGTTTTAATATTGTTTTTAAACCCACATGTACTTTTCAAGCATTTTGGTTTGAATACATATGAGAGGAAACATTCATTTCACAAGATAGTGTTCCTTTAGGATCTAATGACAGTATATGCAGTTTCAGAAAGACATACTGGTAATCTTTTAAGACCCTTTAAAAGTAACTGCTATCAGAGCATGGGCTGTATAGAGCCTGTCTTCTGGGGCTTCTGGAGGAATGCTGAGGATGGGCACCAGGAACTAGCTAGTTGTTTATTCCAGGGACATTTGTGCCCCTTCTGCTCAACTCTTAAAACTCCCCAAACTTCTCAGCTTAGGAAAATGATCCACAGGGAAGGGAAGTGACTGGCTGGCTCAGGGTTACTGTCATAGAACAAAATAGAGGATTGCACTCCAAATTTTTTTTTTCCTTTGTGGTGTTTTGAGACAAACTCTCAACTCTGTAGCCCAGGCTGGCCCCTTAGAGTCATTCCCCTTCCTTGGCTTTCCAGGTGCTGGGATGACAGGAATGAACCACCATGCTTGCTCCTTCTTATGTAAACACTATTTCTGCCTTTTATATACATTGCTTGATTAAGATTCCAGTATTTTGAAGTTGTAGTAAATGTACATTTTGCAAACAAGGGCATCTAAGTTCACAGAAATCAAGATACCAGTAGTTTCGAATAACATCCAATAGAGTTTCTCCAGGGATAGAAATGTTCTGTCTAGACTATCATACTGCAGCCAGGAGGCTCGTGTAATTGAGTGTTTGAAATGTGGCTTTGTGACTCAAGACCTGTATTTGAATTGTATTTTGTCTAAATTATTTTAAACACAGAACTTTCCTATTCACAAGGCATTCAACTGAAGTGTATTGCTTTTTGAAAGTTAGGTGTCTGGTTTTTTTTTTTTTTTTTTTTTTTTTTTTTTTGGTTGATAGATAGATCTACCTACCTACCTACCTACCTATCTATCTAGTTTTGGATACTTATGATTGAACCAAGAACCTCGTGCATGCTGGAGGCAGGTATTCTACCACAGTGCTAGATCCTCCGCTCAGCCCTTGAATTCATATTCTAAATGGAATTTAGAGTCTGACATGGTGTGCTTTTCCAAAAAGGATGGAAAAATAGGTACTTATTCTTTTAAATGCTTGTATGTCATAGTCAAAACTGATGGGCAGATCTTTAAGTAGTTTCTTTAGTTGGAATAATTGTGTGTAGAATGGCTGTAAAAATAGCCTATTTGTATCCTTATTTCAGGGTAATAAAGTATAATAGCCAGGCATTGTGGCTCAAACCTTTAATCCTGCCATTCAGGAGGCAGAGGCAGGAAGATCAAGTGAGTTTGATGGTTATGTAGTAAATTCCAGGTCAGTTTGTCTAAGTAGAGAGACTCATGTCTCACCCTCTTCCCTCCCCAAAGAAGTATAAATATTAGGAAGCAAGATGAAAGCCATAATAGAGTTGGAAGAAACAAAAGCACAACTTCTCACATTCATCTGTGAACACCACCTGTTCATCAGGCATTGCTTTGAAGAATTTAAATAGTTTTACTGTCAAAACATAAAATTAAATTACCAAGCAGGTATGGTGGCCCATGCCTTTAGTGTCAGTACTTAGGAGGGAGAGGCAAGTTGATTTCTTTAAGCTTGAGGCAAGCCTGGTCTCCATAAGGACCTCCAGCCAAGGATGTATGGTGATAACACTGTCTCAAAAAACAACTCCCCCTAGACAATCAAGCACTAGATTCATTTACAAATTATGCTAGACTAGAGCAGCACAAATGACCCTTTGAATAGCAATACACAAATGGTCAGAGAATTTTGTTTTTTTTTTTGATAATTGGGTTTAATTTACTCGTTTAATTTGTTTGCCTTTTAGAGTTTCATTTGGTAAAAGGAATTCCCAAAACTTCTTGATCTTGTACGAGATAGTGAAAGTCCAAGCTCATTTATCTGACTCAGTTCTATCTGTAGATATCACAGAACCCAGCACTACTCTTTTTTTTGAGGATAGGGGAGGTTGGCATGGAGGGGGATGTCTTCATACCTCATGCTCATGGCAGCAGGAAGATCAAGTTAGTATTTGAGTGTTTACTTTGTAAAAAAGTACCTTCCCCCATGGTATAAAGAAAAGAAATAATTTTAACTTTGGGATGTGAGTGTTTCATTTGTGAATGTGTGTGCCCTTGTGTATTCAGGTGTGGAAGCTAGAGGAGAATGCCGGGTTCCTATTCCATCACTGTGTGCCTTATTCTCTCAAGAAAGGGTCTCTCCCTGAGTGAACCTGGAGCTAGTTTAGCGGCCAGCAAGCCTCCTGTCCCAATTCCCATTGTGTTGTGGTTACAGGAGCATGTGGCTGTACCAGGCTTTTTCTGTGGGTGTGGGGATTTGAACTCAAGCCCTTACTCTTGCACAGAAAGCACTCCTACCCACTAAGCCTGTCTCCAGTTCGGCTTGCTCATACTTTTGATCACTTGGACTTGTTTCTCAAATACAACACTCCAGGAAAAGACAAGTGAGAAATAATGTCTGTTTATTAGAACTTTAAAGAAAATTTATTTTTAATTAGCTGCATATGTGTGTGGGCATGTGGGCCTGAATGCAGGTGCTCTCTGAGGCACAAGTTATAGTTCTCCTGTAGCTGGAGTTGTGAACTGTCTCATGTTAATGCTGGGAGCTGAACTCTGTCCCTCCACAGGAGCAGAGCTAGCTCTTAACTGCTGAGACAGCTTTTCAGCCCACACTTTATTAGGATTTTAAAGGAACAATTGCATGTTCAGTATAAATATATTTGGATCTGTGTGTATCCTCCAGAGTTACAGAAATAATCTCAGGTCACAGTTGTGACCCCAGAATATGGTAGAATCCCAAAGACTTATATCAATGAATGGGTTTTAAATTGCAGTATTATTTTAGTGTGAATATAAATCACATTGCCTCCAGTTATTGGAAAGTTACGAATTCATCTACAGACCAGGTATTGGTTAATGAGAACATTCAGACATTCGAATGTCTTGTTCATACCCATTCCTGGCTGTGGGGAACATCACACTATTTTCTCAGAATCAGGGTAAGAACTGTGTTATAAATAGAATTATAGTGTCCTAGGGAGTGTGCCAAATATGGAAACAAGATTTAACCATGATATATGTGTGGTTCAATGTGTTAGGACATCAAGATGTTTAATACAGAGGAGAGACTCGCTGTAATCTTAAAGATGATGAGTGACAGGCAAAGGTTGAGGGCAGTATCTTAGCATCAGCCTAGTTTGTCAAGGCATCATTTTCCTTTCCACCAATGTGTCTCTGGTAAACTTTTGAACCTCTCTTGACCTGGGTTTCCTCATCTTAATATAAGGAGAAAGCACCTCATTTATCTTTTAAAATTAGTTACCCTGGACATTAGTTGGTGTCTTCAAACTTGACAAAGCTTAATATAAACTTAATAGTTCATTATATTCCAGAGTTTCAGTTGGAGCTGGCCCTTTGAAATTTGCATGTTTTTAGAGACTGTGGATTTGTGCTGGGACAGTTTGAAAAAATAATTTAGTTTTCGTTTTGTGGTCAGTAAATAAACCTTTAAGCTTAGATTGTTTCCTTACTTCCTCCCATTCCCAATAGGATAGCCTGTAACTGATGCCCCAAATGCTGGCCCTGCACCTAAGCTGTCATCTCTGAGCTGCTTGGCAAGTTGACCTTTGGCTGGATTAGCC